TATGTTGCCCAGGCTGATCTCAAACTCATGGCCTCAAGCAATCTTCCTGCCTCAGCCTCCCAAAGTGCTGGGATTATAGGCATAAACCACCATGTCCAGCCCAGAGTTTTTATTTTATATTTACAGAAAGAGCTCTTAGAGATATTTACTTATTTCCTTATTTATTTAGAGACGGAGTTTCACTCTGTTGCCCAGGCTGGGGTGCAGTGGCGTGATCTTGGCTGCATCTTCTGCCTCTGGGGTTCATGCACTTCTCCTGCCTCGGCCTTCCAAGTAGCTGGGACTACAGACATGTGTCACATCTGACTAATTGTGTGTGTGTGTGTGTGTATTTTTAGTAGAGATAGGGTTTCTCCATATTGGCCAGGCTAGTCTTGAACTCCTAGCTTCAAAGGATCCAACCACCTTGGCCTCCCAAGGTCCTGGGATTACAGGCATGAGCCACCATACCCAGTCTTTTATTTAGATAGATTTTCATCATTTGTCATAGCACTCTGTTTATATGCATTTCTGCAGAATTTTTTTTTCAATATTTTAAAAAAAGCCTAATTGTTTTGAAGATTTCTCAAACTTTAAACACCATCCATGTGGTACTAAAAATACATTCAATATGGTAGCAGAAAGAATACTTACAAAGTTGTGACAATTTATCACAAATCTACAAAACCCACCTAATAGTTATTGCTGCCAATAAAAAAAAAACACAGTTACCAAAAAATGTAACTTAAACAAAAAAATAAAGGCAGCGATCTTCAAATTTCATAGGTCACAATCTTAAACATCTAACAACATAAAAGACTAAAGTGTGGGTGAATCCTTTACTAGGCTCCATGTAAAACATTTTCCCCAAATTCAAGAAAGTGGGTAACTATTCTTGATACAGACAGATTTAAGTTTGAAGCAAATGGACCTACTGAAGCTGGGTATGGTGGCTCACGCCGGTAATCCCAACGGTTTGGGACGCTAAAGCAAAGCCGGAGTACTGCTTCAGCCTAGGATTCAAGATGAGCCTGGGCAACATGGTGAGACTCTGTTTCTATAAAAAGTTTTTTTAAAGTTAGCTGGGTGTGGTGGTGTGGGCCTGTAGTCCCAGCTATTCACGAGGCTGAAGTGGGAGGATCCCTTGAGCACAGGAGGTTAAGGCTACAGTGAGCTAGGACCACACCATTGCACTCTACCCTGGGTGACAGAGCAAGACTCTGTTTTCAAAAACAAAAGAAAGAAAATGGACCCACTGAAACTCTTCCCTCCAGTAGAAAGATTGCAAGAATCAAATTGATGCTATTAAGCTGTACGTATTTGAAAAGGGAAAAGGGACCAAAAAAAAACAAGAAGGCAACTGTATCTGAGATGGAAATAAATAGGTAAAGATATCAGTAAGTTTTCTATTGGCTCACATGATTTGGCTGCTAACAAATCTGCGGTGGTAAACGGGTTTTCAATCCCCAATTCCATGACTCCAAGTCTAATGATCTTTATGGCATACTGCTTCTCTCATAATTAAGTTACAGAGCTCATAAAAAAGACTATTAAATAGCACTAATATTCAGCATTACATAAGACATAGTTAAGTTCAGTGTAGACAAATATATAGAGACAAAGTAATTTAGTGGTTACTCAAGGCCAGTAAGGGAGGGAGGAAGGAGTGGGCAGTAACTGCTAATAAGCATGAGGTTCCTCTTGGGGCGATAGAAATGTTATAAAATTAGATTGTGGTGATAGCTGTACAACTCTGTAAAAACACTAAAAACAAATTAGTATCAATTAAAATGGGTGAAGTGGTATGGTATGTAATTATATCTCAATAAATTTGTTTAAATAAACAAACAAAAAAGATAAGATTACCTGCAGCAGACCTTTTCATTCAAATAGTTACTTAGCAGGCACCCACCCAGGGGATCTAAAACATTCAAACTATAAAGCTAACTATTTAAAGGAAAACAAGACTGTTTGGACTTTGCTTAATGTTATTACTTATAAAATATTTATAACAGATAACAACTCTTACCCATATTGGCCAATAACCCTGAAATTGCTTGAATATCAGCTCCAAGAAACACATCATTTAGAGTAGAAACTACTGGCAAACACAAAGTATGAACACGAATTCTTCTTTCACCTTTGGGGAAAAAGCAAAAACAACAGTGAGAGGCAACTATATATAACAAAAGATTATGTTAAAGCCACTTGGAAAAATCACTTCTTAGCTGAGTGCAGTGGTGCACTCCTGTAGTCCCAACTACTCCAGAGGCAGAGTCAGGAGCTCAGGAGTTCAAGTGCAGCCTGGGCAACACAGTGAGACTCCATCTCTTAAAAAAAAAATTATAGAATATGTCTGCAGGAGTGGCAGAAGATGAGACAGAGTGTGTGGGGGCCATGCTAAGGATTTTG